ATCTACGACACTAATATTCAGTTCTATTTTCTACTGAAGTGGCAAAAAAATAAAATAAATAAAAACTGAGTTTATTTGTAAATAAAATGTTTGTTGTTTTTATTTGTTTTCATCAGGTTTGGTTTCCAATCAGTAAAAATCAAACGGGGGGTCTGCAGGGGTCTCTGGGCTCAGTCTCTGCTGTTTGGACCTTTAACGTGTGTCGGTCCGGACCACCTCATTCAGCTGCAGCAGGTCTGAGGGCGGTCCAACAATGGACCCTCAGAACCAGAGATAAGCTCTGTTGTTCAGAGTGAGGCAGAGGGCGGCACTGACTGACACAGACCCTGCAGGTCCAAAGAATGTCTGGAGCCGGGCCAGAACCACGAGCTCAACGCCCCGCAGGACGCCTCAGGGCGGGCTCAGATGGGCCGGGCCTCAGCCTGAAGGGGCTGCAGAGCTGGGTGTCGGCACTGTGGGCTCTGGACCGGTGCTGAACAGGCTCACCAGAACCGAACCTCTACCATGGCTACAGCGAGCACCTCGGGGCAGAGCGGCTTCGGGCTCAGCAGGAAGAAGAAGAACCCGGGTCAGAACCCGGGTCTGATGGGTCACATCAGCCAGATGTTTGGAGCAGACAAGAAGAAGAGGAGCAGGGTGAGCAGCAGAACCTCTGATGGTCCAGAACCACCAGAACCACTGATGGTCCAGAACCACCAGGACCTCTGATGGTCCAGAACCACCAGAACCACTGATGGTCCAGAACCACCAGAACCACAGATGGTCCTGGTTTTTGGTGTCCAGATTTATCTAAAAACTCTAATTTAATCTAATTAGGACGACTGTTTGTTTGTTTGTTTGCAGAGCTGCAAAGTAACTAAGTACAAATACTTCTTTACTGTAATTAAGTAGAAATTTTGTCCATCTGTACTTTACTTGAGTACTTTTTTCAGCCAACATTTTACTTTGACTACATTTTTACACAGTTCTCTGTAGTTTTTACTGCCTTCAGGTTTAAAAACATAAGAAGTCGTTTTGTTTCGTCTCGTTATTGTTAAAAAAAACTTTTATCTTGATAAACTTTGCTGCTGAAATTAATTGTGGTTGGATATATATATAT